GAGAAAATTTTTTTTTTTTTTTTTTCTCATTTAGATATATAATACAAGAGATTTGGATTTTCAAAAAATGCCATATTTCATACTCATGTTTGAGCTAAATCTGTTTGAAGATAAGAAAAAATAAAGTACGCGAGATAGTAATATGTAGACTCGGACACGTTATTCGTGTACAAGAAGCGTACGTACCTATTTGTTTTTCGGATGTATTCATTTTTTTTCACAATTTTTGGGAATTTTACACGCTGCAGTACTGTACAGGTGTGAGTAAAAAATGTTCTGATCGGACTATTTTAAAAAAAATAAAATGAAATAAATGAAAAAATAATTCAGCCCTTCGTTATCTATTCATCACTTTACGTTTGATCGTGACAAAATTTTTTAGTAAATCTGTTTACATTTTCTTTCAGGAAAAAATATACAAATCATATAAAAATGAATAACGTCTAAAATGTGTTCAAAAGTGTTCAAAAATTTAACTCGTTTCAAAAACATTTTGGTTAATTAATTCTATTAAGATTATATTCATCATCACCGAGAAACTTACAAAAGAGCGCTTTTTTGAAAAAAAAACAAAAAAAACAAAAAAAAAAAAAAACGATATAATAAAAAAAACTGGTAATGCAATTAAAACCACAATTTATAATAATAATAATAACGTTTGTTACACATACAGTAAGTTGTTGATTTTACATCTCACTATAATTTAATTAACTGTACAAATTTCACCGTGTATAACATGTTCGTACGTGGGACGCAAATTCAGCAAAGAAAAATGCTGTTACTGCTTCGACGCACTTTTATTTGAACTATTTACAGTAATCGCTTTAACTTTCAACAGTATTATATTGGCTACACCCACTTTGTCGATTTTTTTTGCTATCAAGTCGTTTATTTCGTCGTTATTTGTAATTATTATTTGTAATTACTTCGCAATTGCTCGTAGAAAGTTTTCGATCGACTCTATTACCATTTCATCAGCAGTTTCGTGAATTTTCATATTATGTACAAAAATTTCATCTGAACACATATCGTCATTAATAGTAAGCCTTGAACGTCGGGTTTCCCATGTAATCTGGAATTCAGAGAGCGAGAGAAAGATGTTTAACAGAAATGAAAATATTTAAATGTACTTTAATTATGGATGCTCAGTGACTTCAATGATCGATTTTTACACTTTTTTTTTTTTTTAAAGCCAATAATGAACTGACCAATTACTTGGCCGTAGTGAATTAATTGTACGAAAAAAGCTAAACTTCTAGGAGCCAATTATTTGTTGAATAAAACTATTTTCCATGTAAAACAAATATTACAAAGTGCAAAATTGAAGAAGTTATGAATTTGACAGATTAGTATTATTGGCTCCACATATGATGTATTTACGAATGTTCCTACTCCAATTTTTAAATTATATCAATTTATCAATGATAAATATATTTTTTAAATAACCATAATTTAAAACAAAGCAAATTTTATATTCATTGTAAGTAACTTTTGTGCATCCTTGAGAAAATATGGAATTATAAAGTATTTTATATATTGTGTGAAAAATTTTAAGTTTAATTAATGCATACATTTTAATAGCTATTTTATTATTTACAGTAATAACATATAATAAGAATATTTTTAAGGTTTAGATCAGTTGTATAAAAAATTATGTTGATGTCAGGAAAAGAAAAAAAAATATATTGAAAGAAAAAAATGAAAATGTAAAGAGACACAAAATTTTTAGAAACGAAAGAAACTTTGGAGAAAATTGAAGGAGTTTTATAGATAAGATACGATATGTTTTCGTTATTCACTAAAAAAGAAAGAAATGTGATTAACATGCCTCAAGTGCTATTACAAAGTACTTTAATGTATTATAATGTAGGAAATCAAGGAAAAAATTACCATACAAAAGGCGAAACATTTTTTTTTCACTGATTTATTTCAGTCTTGCTTGCAACTACTCTAATGGTGTGCACACCTTTAAGCAAATCATTAGAGTAGTACCCATTAAATGTATTTTTATGTTAACTATGCAACTTTCGGTACAGAATGTAAAACAAACATCTATGTCAAGCAGCAGTTACTTTTCTAATTATAAACATTTCTCTCTTTTTTTTCTTATTGATTACTTTTAAAAATTTCTACACTACGTTGCAGTTAAGCACTTTCTTTGCTGTAACCACCGACCTAAATTGAAATAATTTTATAATAATACGTAGCACTATATTTAAAAAATAGTAAAATCTATTGTCGTGATAACAGATGTTACTATGTAAAACATCGTACTTTTTATCGAAATTTTTATGATAAATACAGAAGTTACATTCAAAATCTAGAAGCTGTGAGAAATTAGCGTTTTTTTTTTTAGTTCGGTGGTGCTAACATAACAGTAAAAAGAAAATAACAAAATGATGTAGTAGTTAAATTTTTTAACACACATACTGTTAACATTATGTTAGCAGTGATGTTATGATTAATGAATTTTAAGTCTTAAAAATTTTATACAATAGTAAAAAAAGGAAAAAAATTGCAAGGAGTAAGAACACTCGTAACAGTTAGGTCTGATCAAGGAAACGACTGGCACACACCCAGTCTTATGCTGGATTCATGCGATGATGCCTAATTTCAGAAAATGCATCCCTACTATTCCATAAACAAACTATCGCCGCGATTCCAAAGCCAATCCCTCCTCCGACTGCACACCTCCTTAGTCCAGCTAAAAGTAGAATTAAAAATGAATTTGTTAGCACTTAAAAACTCGATGATATTTTCAAACATGAATTATACATTTTCTTTAATGAGTACCTGTGGATTTGAAAAATACGCCGGTGGCAGTGGCAGCTGCTAGTGTGTTAATAGAATCATCTGTCCCTCTGGTGTAGGAGAGTAGTACACCAAATCCACTATACATCAAAGACACAACACCAAGCGCATTTGCTAACGATGTGCCATGTTTCATTATATGATTTATCATTCTGCAAAAGTATACAATAGCATTTATGAAATGTGAGCAAAGAGTTACAAAAACGTATCAGTTATTAAGAATGTCCACGAAACATACTGTGTTCTCCTCAATTTGCCTGTCTGTCCTGCTAATTGCGTTGCTTTTAATCCTTTGTAGAATCCATTTGAACCACCGAGTGCAGCTCCAACAAGAAAAGCTCCTCCTATCTGACTGAACGCAAATTCAAAACGGCCTCTCTGTTTTGAAGCCCCTTCTGGGAATATGAATTCTGGTTGACTAGGAGGTAAATATACTGGATCATAATTTAAATATGGACTTAATGACGACAACTGAGACTGAGGAATTCCTGTAAAAATAAAATTCTCATTAAATTCTAACTTCAACCCATTGGCTTTATGTTAAAAACAAGAGTATGTATGAATACTTCAATGATAAAATATACCTATCGGTTCAAAATTGCTATTTTTTTGCATAAAATGTAGGTTAGGTGGTGATTCATTATTGCTTGTTCTAGATGTTAGGTCCATGTTATATAGTCATGATAAAATTAAAAAAGGAAAATTCGATACATTTCAATGTTTTAACTTGCAAAACTGAAATTCAGGCAAATTGAAAAAGAAAGTTTTAAGCATAAGTTTTTACATTTTGACAGGTAGACTTTCTTATGTTTACTGATTAATCATTAATCAATTATTTAAACCCTTTGACAAGTATATATAGTTAAAATATCAAACGATTACTTGAACGTCATCATAATTAATAAAGTTTATTTTTAAGTTTTTTGTGGTTGTCAACGATAAAGATTACAATAACATCCAAACAAATAAATCAATCAATGCACTTCTAATCTGCTTAATAATGATTAAAAAAACAAGTGAATTCGTTACAATTACCAAAGTGTCAAAAGGTTAGGTCAACAATGTCATTGCAAAAAAAAAGTTCAACAATCAACCCCATAAACGATCAGACGATGAGTTATATAATTTCTAACACGCAAGATGACGTTAAAATAAAATCACGCGTGCTGGTGAACTGCACGCACACGTATACGTCAGGGAGGGATAACGTGTTACTCGTTCAAGGTTAGAATTCCTGCGGATGTTCAATACACCCAAAAAAAAGGATTACTTCTCCGAGTGAAAAACTCACCTGACGAAGACTCCCTGTGTCTACTGCTGGGTATCGGTGAACTCGAAGTACTGTCGTCGCGGAAATCTATCATTTTTGTTGAAAGTTCGGAGAAGCACAGTGCCAACAAACCTTTACTTAACAAGATAACTCGTAAACTTTCGCGAATCGTTGAATTAAACCACTGATGTATCCCGAATACGCGCGCACACGGGGGTCACAAGGAGAAAAGATTACGTGAACGTGATCCTAATGTTTCACTAGTAAAGGTTTATAAAGGTTGAACCAAAAAAGTTGCTACTCTAAAACAGAGAGCGGATGAAAGGATTGCAAGATTGTTCTCTTTCTTTCGACGATGACCGACGAACGACTTCTGCTCTTTTCTGCTGCAGCAGAGGAGCAGACTCTCGCCTGCGGCAGAAAACCGAAGACGTGACCGTCACAGTACCGCCACCTGAACTGACGCCCTGCGGCCTGCGGCCAGAGTTAATGCGCGCTAAGCGGCAAATTCAAATGTGCTAAAACCAACTAACTAAATCCCAAGCTTTTTAACCCAATAACTCAGTACCCAAAACCTCTTAAACCAAATAACCCTATAATTCAGATAAATAAAACCTAACAATATTTTAAATACACGCTCAACTTATAACTGTATACATAAATCATACTCATCAGATTGCAAAATCTTTAAAATAAAGATCCAAACGACTTGCAACACATAAATATAATGAGAAAAAACTACTAAATAACCCAGGGAGCTTGATATCCAATTTATTTAATGATAAAAATATAACATATAACTACAGCGCATTCCCCCATATGACCCAAGGCACTTACTAGCCAGTTTATTAACAAATTTAAAATAAATTAATAGCCCAAGTGCCGATCACCAGATCACCTGGGTAGCTTTTACTGGCCAATTTGGCTTATCATAAACTGAGTGCCTATATCCCCAGATAACCTCAAATACTTGCTTTTTAGTTTACAAATCGTCTGATTAATAATTATCGACACAAGTGCTTGTTAAGAAACGAAAAGAATCAAATTTCTGGCTCTGATGGTATGAATAAATTGCTTAAAAATCAACAACAAGCTGTATAACGTCCTTAGTTTCCGGATTAGCATAAGTTCCGTTCTATTTTTTGTTAACTCAAAATTGCTCTTAAATGTTCTAAGTCACATCGGAGTATGCCTTTATAATATTTTATAATTATTATTATTGCAGTAGTTGGCCAATTAGTACGTTAGGTTACTTATACATACCACTAGTTATTTGTTGGTTTTTTTTGTATCATACAATTAAGATACTATTAAGTGCCAAGTAATTACTTTGCTACACATTAAATGCCGTACTATTGTAGCATTTTTCATTTTATTAACCAGCCCCGGGTCATCTGGTGATAGGCGCTTGGGCTGTTAATTTATTTTTAATTTGTTAATAAACTGGCTAGTAAGTGCCTTGGGTCATATGGGGGAATGCGCTGTAGTTATATGTTATATTTTTATCATTAAATAAATTGGATATCAAGCTCCCTGGGTTATTTAGTAGTTTTTTCTCATTATATTTATGTGTTGCAAGTCGTTTGGATCTTTATTTTAAAGATTTTGCAATCTGATGAGTATGATTTATGTATACAGTTATAAGTTGAGCGTGTATTTAAAATATTGTTAGGTTTTATTTATCTGAATTATAGGGTTATTTGGTTTAAGAGGTTTTGGGTACTGAGTTATTGGGTTAAAAAGCTTGGGATTTAGTTAGTTGGTTTTAGCACATTTGAATTTGCCGCTTAGCGCGCATTAACTCTGGCCGCAGGGCGTCAGTTCAGGTGGCGGTACTGTGACGGTCACGTCTTCGGTTTTCTGCCGCAAAAAAAATCCTTAACAGCTTTAAAAATTTGCAATAGTTTTTTGAATTCAAAGTCCACAACTGCTATTGGGGAATTTTAATACTAGTTTACGTAAAAAATTTTTAAATAACATTTATTTAACAAAATTTGTATTTCTAATGTACATGATTGATGTGATATAAAGATTCAGGCTGCTATTTGATTTCCTGGAAGAGGTTCCTTTTCTCCCAGAGCTCCAGTTTCACGTAACAGCTCTTTCTTGTCCTCGAAATAATTTTTGTACCACGTTATGTGGCCGATTTTTTCCTCAACAGTCATGTAAGGATTCTTTGATAAGCCTGTGCAGACTAGTTCCATGAAGTGGCTGATTGGACCCTTTTTCGGACACCAGTCTTTCAAGTGACGTTCCAAAAAGACGTGTTCGGTAAAATGAACTTTTTCCTCTTCTTCCAGCCCTGAAAAGTAAATACATTAATGAAATTGGAAAAATATTCAATAAAAACAAGTTTAATCCAATAAATGCACCTTGTTCATTATTGATAGGAAAATGCCATAATTTTCCCTGCTCTGTCCACTGTATTAACTCTTGAAAAACGTTCTGAGGAGAAATGAAGGTTGCCATTTGCATTTCCTTCTTTTCCATTTCTTCCCATGTCAACAGTCGGAGTGTTTGTTGTGGCTCTTCTTTTGGCATATTTTTAAATATGTGCAATCCCGTACACGGAGCATTCAACTCTACCTTACTCAATGGTTCGGCCCTATATAATATTGTATTGTTATTTTTGTGAATTTTTTTATTAACTGATAATTGTTAGTGGCTAAAAAATGATTATTGAACCTTATATTACTTGGTTTCTTCATTAACTTTTGATACAACAGAGATCCTGCTACGGATTTTTCAGTAGAACGATCTCCTACTTTCCTTGCCATCATTTTTTTTCTATCTTCACCGACTGTGGGCTTATCTACTTTCATGCTTGATAGTAAGTCACTGAAAAATTTTTTTTTTATTTTTATTGTCATCCTTGAAAAATTATATAATTTCTAGTGTGTATTTGTATCGAATTTACCCAAGGCTTAATGATTGTTCGGAAGTTTCTTTAGGTGCCTCGGTTTTCTTATTTTCTTGTGGTTCCTTCTCACCTAAATTTAATATCTGCCCGAGCAGTTCTATTTCTGTTTTTTTAGTATCACCTCCCATGCTCTTGGCTACATCTTTTGCGGCTCCAATTATTTGTTTTTCTATAAAGTATGACTCAATAATATTTAAAAGCCAACAACTCATAGGTAGTATTTGTTTTCGTTCTTAATCAGATTTAACAAACCTATTGGGACGTTTTTTTTCTGTTCATCCACTGACTTTTTAAATCGAACGCTTCTTGGTTTTAGTGCCACATCTATAATACCTGGAGTACTAGCAGGTATTGTAGTTTCAGCTGGTGTAGTATCAGTTTTGGAAGTTTCTTTAACTTTTGTAGAATTCTAGAAAGATTATTGAATTACACATGATACATAAATAAATAGACAGCAATTTTGGTTACTGAAAAAATTTATTAAGAATGTTACCTGAGATATTTTAAGTAACAATGCGTTTAACCTCTCATTGGTTTTTTCCGAATTTAAAAACTCATCGTTCTTCTGACTTTTTGCGCTGATTTTAGGTTCATTTACTTTTGTCTCCTTATCAGAATCCGAATCTGAAGATTCAGAAGACGACGACGACGACTCATCGGTAGATAGAAACTTAACACTTGTGTGTAATTGTGATTGTTTAACATAATGACTCATACATCTGAAATTATGGGATGGATGTCACTTTACTTATGAAATTGTAAACTTCTTTTTTGATTTGATATTGTTGAATTACATTTAAAATGTGTACTTTATATACTTTGTATAAACAAAATTGAGGTTAGAAAATCGTAAATACAGTGTGTCAGAACACCCTGAAATTTCAATATGTAAATTACCATACCTAGGAAAAGAACGCAAAAACAGCATCGTGTAATATTGTACACGGTAAAATATCGGGAAAATAGAAACCGGTACGTCACACTTGTAATTATTTCATACAAGTTTGAAAAGATTTGCTTTCATTTTGGAGCAGAAGCTGCTGTAGCAATGCCAGCGATTGGTAAAAGTAATAAGGTGCGTCCCCAATGTCCCCATCATAAAGGGTATATATGTAGACCTAAAGCCATTTAGTCAGTTATAAGCCAGCTGCAACCAATGTTATAGAAGTAAAAAAAAGTTAACGTTGCTTATGCTGTTTGCGGCAAGTTTACAATTTTTTACAAATATATTTTACCCAAAAATCTACCTCCAAAAGTATAAATGTATAGGTCAATTTTTAGGTAAAAGATAGATTGTAAACTTGCCGCAAATGGCATTACTTTAGTTAAAATGATATTTTCTATTTGTTGCTTTAGTTGCGGCTGGTTTATACTTGATTAAATGTCTTTACTGTAAGTAGTAATAATTATTTGGATCAGCGCCATCTAGCGTTGCGGATTTTTGGACCAAAAAGTGGCCCTAAACTTTTCAGCCAGAGCTTTAGCGCGTAGAGCCATTTAACCACTTATAAACCAGCCGCAACTTATTTGGTAGCTATAAAATAAAAAAAATAACAATACGTGTGTTTTTGGCGGCAAGTTAACAATCTATTTTCTATCAAAAATTGACCTCATATGTATTTATACTTTTGAAGATGAATTTTCGAGTAAAAAATAAATTGTTAACGTGCCGCCAAAAACACATGTAACGTTATTTTTTTATTTTATAGCTACAAGATAAGTTGCGGCTGGTTTATGAGTCACTAAATGGCTCTACGCGCTAAAGCTCTGGCTGAAAAGTTTAGGGCCACTTTTTAGTCCAAAAATCCGCAACGCTAGATGGCGCTGATCCAAATAATTATTACTACTCCCAGTAGAGCCATTTAATCAATTATAAACCAGCCGCAACTAAAGTAACAAACAGAAAATATCATTTTAACTATAGTAATGCTATTTGCGGCAAGTTTACAGTTTATCTTTTACCCTAAAATTGACCACTAAGACTACAGATATTCTACATCCATATCCGTACATCCTTACATAATTAGTTACATGGTTGTAACATAACTTTACGTATACCTAAGTATCTTACACACCGTACTACTCTCTTCACACCAGAATGATAAAATCAGAATTTTAAGTTTTCAGCCCGACTTCACAACTTGGCGAGTTCTTGAGTTCTTGCAAAAAGCCGAGAAAATCAACATTGCTAGTTGGCACTGATTCGTAAATAACCATTATATAAATAATCATAATAATAAATAATTTAAGAAATAATCGGAAAAATTTAATAATTGATGGTTTTAAAGTAGAAATAAGTTCCGCAAAATGTGTGTCAATTTTAGAATTCAGTGATTCAGTCTTCCCCGCGAATCGAATCAGCTGATCGCTGTGTATAGATATATTTGTAAATATCCCTCTGCATATGTGTGATCATGCTTTGTGACTTTCGGAACAATCGGATATTTATCTTGTATTTAATTGATATACCTAACGTCATAAAATAAGATTTAGCGGCCTGTACTGAATTCGATGAACGATATCATAGGGAATCATTATTAGGATCATCAATCAAAAAGAGCGGAACATTAATCATGGGCAAAGCCAAAGGACAGCGGACTAAGGGCAATGCACGAGTGAGTGTTGTTTTTTGTGTAATTTAGCTTACTTGGCTGCTTAAAAATTACTAGATCAATACTTTTAAATTTTGTTATTGTACTGTCTGTAAGACTTTGGGCTTTGTTTTTTTTTTTTTTTTTTTTTTTCATCATACCCATATCTCATTTGTATATTTAATGTTTCCAGCCTTCAAACAGTAGCCGCAGTGCTGAACTGCTTGGGACGGCTGCCACGAATTTCGTTGGCTTTGCAGCGGCCAAGGATGGAGGATTCACACCAATTCTGCCTGGATTATCGATTACACAGAATACCGAAGTAAGCAGTCTGGATCCTGCATTTCAGCTAGTTCTTAAGAAAATGAGCAAAAAAGATTCTACAACCAAGTACAAGGTATGCACTTGTTACTGATTGAAGCAGAAAACTCATTAACTGTTGAGAATAGTACTACACAGATAATTGTGTTTTCAGGCATTACTGGAGTTTTCAGAACTTTGCATAAACTTGGACTTGTCAGTCGTAGAGACCATGTTGCCCTGTTGGCCACGTTACTATTGCTCCCTCTCCATTGACGTGGATCACAGGGTGAGGGAAGCTGCACAAATGGCTCATGCAGCACTTGTCAAACGAGTTGGCAAGATGATAGCTACGATCTTGAAACAAGTAGCTGGTCCTTGGTTTGTATCTCAGTACGATGTGTATCCACCAGCTGCCTCAGCAGCTAGTAACTGTTTGAATGCAAGTCATTAATTTTTTTCAATTATTTGGATATTTTTTAATGACATATGGCTGATAAAAATGTTCATAATGGGTTTCAGAATACTTTTCCACCACAAAAGTATGTTAGTGCAGTTGTTCATTGCCAAGATGAAATTTTGAGCTACATTTGTGATAATATAACTGTTTTAACTCCACAAGGACTTTCTACTAATAAGTAAGTTTTTTTTTATTTAAGTGCTTAAAAAATTGTTGGGAAACTAAATGCAATATTATTTACAGATCGATACCTCCAGAAGAAATGAATTCCAAGTACCAAAAAATACTAACTTCCAGCCTGCAAGCTTATAATTTTTACTTGAAAACCGTTACACCAGCTGATATTGAAAAAACTGCGGTGTATCACAAAAAAATCATAAACAGTGGTAAATTCTGGAAGCTTGTAAAGAATGAAGATAGTTCTACCAAAGCGGCATTTTTCAATGCACTTAGTGCACTTGTGTGTTGCAGCACGATTATTGCGTGTGAGGAAAAAAAGAAAGTATTGACTTCTATAATGAACAGTTTGGATGAAATTGATCCAGCTCTTCTCACTGCAGTCTGGGAATCTCTTTTAGTAGCAATCAACAAAATAGAGGTTCGTTATCTTAGAAACTAATGTTCAATTTTAATGAGCCAACATTTTATCTGTTATTTTCCATAAACTTTTTTTTTTGTTAGGACTGGTATAAGATTGTAAGCATAGATAAGTTGGTACTGCCTAAACTTTGGCGAGTATTGAAAAATGGTGGGCAGTACTGTGCGAGTGTTGTTTACCCAAATTTACTACCATTCCTCAGTCAATTCCAAAAGTTTGAGGTCGATGAAGCAATGCTTTTCACATCCTTTTTTGAAAATATGCGGCAAGGGTGAGTTTAAGTAACAACAATTCTTAAATTTTTCCTTACAAAATATCTCAGTTAATTTTGCTTTCAATAAAAATCACAAGATCAAGTGATCTTTGCCAGTGCATCGACCAATAATACAAAATTTCAGTTTTTCAGTAAAAAGTGTCAAGTTCAGTAGATCTGAAGCATTTGCAGTGGTAACTTCATTTGTCGAATGCCTCAAATACGCCATCCTTGTCAATAACGACAACGAAGACATCTGTAAAAGCTTGCTCAAAGATCAGGTAACGTAACGGCTGAAAATTGATTTTAAAATCCGTGAAGAATATCCATTACTTTTTGATTGTAGCTTATGCCAGTGGTAGAGTCCTGCCTGAGCGAAAGTCAAACGATATGTCCGATATTTTTCTGCGAGTTGGCACACCTTTTGCGCTACTGGAGCAAAAACAGCGACAGCTCAGATAACGCGGTCTACGGACGGATGATGGAAATCTTCTGGCACGATCTAGCCGCAACCTTTGATCGATTGATCGACAAGGCGAGCGAAAGCTCAGCAACGAGTGCGATCGTTTCATCGATGACCGACCTGTTGCAGTATCTGAAGATCGCGCCGGAACACAGTAGACGGAACATGAAGGTCAAATTTTCGGACTCAAAAGAAGCGAAATCACCTCCCAAAGACCTGGCGTTGACACCGATGTCAGTTGACAAGAGTAATACGGAGGCTGTTGCTTTTCTCAAGGAACTCCAGCAGCTCATTACTAGGCTTTGTGTCGGCTACTTCAGACGTATCACTGATCAACCGCTCAAGCACAAGGTTGCTGATCTAGTGAGGCTAGTAGCAGGCCATGAGAGCAAGGGTTTGTTCCAACAGTTAGCTAAGACGTATGACGAGGATGCCAGTCTGCTGCAATTTTATTACAAAAACTTGAAGATAATGCTGAACAGTGAAAACGGGGAGACCGAGGATTTGATCAATTTGATATTTAGTATCATGTCGCACATGTCGGAAGCTGAAAAGCAGGAAGTGTTGCAATCGTTCCTAGAGGTAATGATTTGTTTTTCTCGGTAATTACAAAACTGATCAGAGAATCTTTATTTTCGTTGTAAATTTCAGATTGACGACATTAAGGTGCGCAAAATTGCAGTGCAACGCGCGTTAATGAAGAAATACAGAGAAGACAGAATTGTGCGTAAATGGTGCAAACAATCACTCATTACCAGTACTCTGATTACAACGGCTCAAGATGTAATGTCTTCTCTTGAGATGACAGAGTTTGATGAAAATATGTTTGTTCGAGCGTTTGAACCTACTGCAGGTGGAGGTAATTAAATCATTTAGCTGGCTTTTTCAAATGAAAAAACTTGAATTAACAATCTTCATTGATTTGATAGACTTGGTAGTGAGCAGTGAAGCAATTTGCGGGATCTCGTCAACGCTGTGCCAAATGGTCAACCAAATGCCATGGAAAAGCGAAAAACTCGTTAAAAAAACCGGTACTCTGCTCTCTCGTCTGCTTGCTATGTCCTGTAGTCACAAAAAAATCACATCTGGAGCAGTTGATCTGCTCAAAGCTGTGTTTATTTTACACATTCGCGACAGCATGGAGCGAATCGATAATGACAGTGAGTCTTCTATGGTAGTCGCAACAGTACAAGAGGCGTGGACTTATGGTCTGTGTGAGATAAGTAAAAAGATTTCGGAGGATGACTTTGCCAAGTACGTCAAATATTTTGCGACGATTGTGTGGGAGAAGATTTTTTCAACGTCAGTATAAACTTGGAATCATTTTTTTTTTCTTTTTTTTTTTGTTGAAAGAATCGTAAATAATTTCTTTTTTTAGGAGCGATACCAAAGATTCTTTGATCAGTTTGTCCACCAGCTTGATTGATGCCGTTATCAAGAGTAGCGAGCATTACTCAAAGAAATACGTTATGAGTATTTTGACAGAATTGGACATAAAAACGTGGATGATCGAAGCTTCCGGAACCGCGCTTTATGGTGAAGTGATTACTGGAAATCTGTACGTTTCAGACCTAGTACAGAAAGGTCAAATGTGCGGCGAATCTTTCGAGATTGACTTGCGCAATGTTAACTTTGAAGATAGCATGCACAAATGCTTGAAATGGGCCGCAGCAAGTGCGAAAATTCTGAATCAATTATTACCAAATACAGCAGATGTCCCTGAAATAGTAGAAATTTTGATAAATCTCTCCTGTACTGCTGCCTTAGGAAAAATTTACGTCAAGCATTACAATTCTGTGAGTTTGACATTATTTTTAATTTTATTCTATGTTTGAATACACACAGGTTTTAATAAAAATATTTGTTACTATGATAGACCAAACACTCGATTGATGTTAATTCGCTAAGTAAAGTTCTTCACAGCGAGTTGAATGGTTTGAAAACGTTTTTACCTGAAGACGTTCATAAAAAGGTTTTAGCTAACTTAAATAGGTGAGTTACCTTACTATATGCTGTAATGTTATTGATTGATCAGAAATTTACCTTAAAAGTATTTTTTTTTAGATTACTCTCGACATCTGGTGCCATTTATGCGTATGTTATAAAGTTCTACCGTGACTTCTTTATACCAGAAGATACCTTGTCAGAGCTATTTGAAAACTGTGACGTGGATTCCATCAAAGAATCCAACAGTATTGAAGTTTACTTGCAGTGCTTCCAGGTTCGTTTCAATAATCCAACGTCATTTCATCTATTTGAACTTAATGAAATACTCTTAAATTAAACATTGGATTTTAGTTGTTGAAGAATTGTGCTGGTTTGAAAAAATTCGTGTCATCTTTGGACGATCAAAGTGACTTTTATACGATTTATCTAGCAAGAATTGAACTGAGTCATAACGATTTATCACATTTGACCGATATTTTTGACTTGATAACTAAAAGACAACAAGATGAGCCCTTAGCCTTATTATTAAACTGGTATGGAATACAAATTGCTTTCAAATTTAGTCTCGATGTCTGGTAAATAATTAATTTGTATTTATCATTTACAGTGACATACATGACGTTGATTGGAAAGATTTTATTCTGCCCTTAGAAGTTATTTTATTTTTGATCGAGTGTGTCGTGAAAATCCCCAAAAAGCTTACAATCGCTCAATGGGATGTCATAGATTTATGTTTAGCATCTTGGCAACTTTCCTTTAGGAAATCCATTGCTTATCATACGGATTTCAAGGTACTAATTTTTATAAACAAATTATATAAATTAAATGTTACGTGGCATATCATTTTCAGGTGAAAGCTTTGACAATCAATGTCAATAAACTTTATTGTATTATTCAAGAAATTGTTAACGATTATGTTAAAAATCCAATTGAAGAAATACCTTTTTCATTCATAGACGAATGGAAAAATGTCTTTTCTTCCCATTTACAAAAAGATTCTTTCGAATCGTGGATGATGTTTGCTGGTAAATCGTATACCCTTTTTCATAGCCTTAAACGTTGTTTCGAAATTGTAAAATACCATTAATTATATTTGGTACAGAATTATATAATAACAAGGACACATCCCTCACTTCGATCATACCACTCAACTATTTGGGAAAATCTTTGAAAGTTTATACGAATCCACTAATCGACGTAGATTCATCCATGAGCTTGTGCTTGAAATCTGAAGAAGAAATCATTGAGCTTCTTTTAAAGCTGATTCATTCGCCAGTACTGAGTCTACAGTTGGGTGCATACATCGCTCTCAACAATATCGCTGATGTACTCGTTCAACGCGACAAAGAAATTATTGGAGATGAAAAACTGGATGTGAAAACATTTAATATGTGTAAATTCGAGCAAATCTTGAAAATGTCACAAAATATTGTTAACACAATCCTGATGGACTTTAAGTCAGTTTGATTTCGAATACACTGCTTTTTTTTTTTATCGGGACCAAATATTTCAACTTATAATTTTTCAGACTGTGCGATACTACTAGCTGTACGATTCAACCCTACACTGATTCATATACTTACACTATTGGTTATTTGCTTGCTTGGAGTGTTGTACTAAACATGTGTGCCAAAGCCAACGGAGATTTGCGTTATCATTATGCCGAAATATTAAAGTAGGCCTAAAAATATCTACTAGAATTCCATATGTCCTGACTCAGTGGTGTAATTTAGATAATTAATTTTCAGAGAGGATTTCTTCCCGTGTTTACTGAACAATCTATTCCGACTGATGCCGGTAGAAGTATTGCAAGACTCTAAAAATAAAAGCATAGAATTAATCAATATATTCAGCTCTGTACCGTCCCTCGATTTCATGGGTAAGCTTGATGGAAAAATTTAGACCTCACTCAGCAAACATTATCGTCCTGATGTTTATTAATTTTTGTCATTGCAGCTGGCTGGACTGAATGGAGACTCGACCACTTGGTATGTTCGTTGTATACGAATTGTTTGCGTTACTTGCCTGTTCTAGTGAGGCAATGGTGGAGCACAGCCGACAGTCGAGTGAGCACTGCTGTTGACAAAATAACGACGCTTTACGTCAGTCCATTCCTGTGCCACGAGGAACTTTATGACAACAAACTGGCACAAGTTGATAACATGCAGGTAAAAAATTGATAAGTATGTCTTTTCTTACCACTTATGAGCACGTAAATATGCGTCACTTTGTTTTCCACAGGTGAAAGTTCATCCAATGAACCGCGAAGTCATAGCGTTGTATCAGATGGACGACACAACGCTCGAACTAAATATTACCCTGCCACCGAATCATCCCCTTGGCACCGTCACTGTCGAGCCTGGTCAGCATGTGGGTGGCACAGCAAACTGGAGGAACTGCCACATGCAGCTTTCAATTTTCCTAACGCATCAGGTTTGTACTAATTTCCATTCGTGTGACAAGAATTCAGATCTTTCACCACTGATGTGACTATCTGCATTAGAACGGTTCGATTTGGGATGGTCTCATGCTGTGGAAAACAAATCTTGACAAACGATATGCCGGTGTGGAAGAGTGTTACATCTGCTTTAGTATATTTCACCTCAGCACCTACCAAATACCAAAACTCTCTTGTCACACTTGCCGTAAAAAGTTCCACACTCCTTGTCTGGTAAGCAGTAAAACATTGTTTATTATGTAAAGTGAAATGCAAGCTAATGATTAACACGTTTTCTTCTTTTGCAGTACAAATGGTTCAATACGAGCCACAAGTCGGCTTGTCCTATTTGTAGAAATCCATTTTAGAGATGTCCAAGAGTACGTGTAGCGTAAATTTATCAATTTTTTGCCAAAAAATTTTGGTAAAAAAAATATTGACTCTGTACAAAAAAAGAAGACAAATTGTAATAAAATAGTATATTTATAATTTCATAATATCCATGTAAATTACCAGAGTACGTGCAAAATATGATTACAGATTGCTTAGTGATAATATCAATCAACAACTCTAGTTGTGCGTTATTTTATTAAAAAACACATATTTTCAAAATCCTTTGCCAACTCATTACCCTATACTTGTATATACCTGGTTAAACACTCGTTTGTTTACGGGCTAACCTGATCGAACCACCAAACCGATCGAGTAAATTCACGATTCCGCGACTCGACTATTGTTTTGTTTGAAAAAAAAAAATAATAATAATAATAAATAAATAACGAGTCTCTCAACCGACAAGTGTATTATGGAGTGCACAAAGCTACTCGAAAGCCTCGACATATTCGGCCACGCCGGATTCTGCGTAGCCGTGGAGAGATCCCAGCTGTTGCAAAGTTCTCTGCTCATACTCCAGCAAGAGAATCACTTCGAGAAGTGCTACTACTGGGGCAGAATTGACGGCATCCGCAATGACTACCACGTGGCTTATGGTTTTCGAAAACAGTGCCTCGACGGACAGAAATATTTCTACAGGTACACGCTTACCGATAATGGGACCCCACGCGCTTGTGGGGACACCTGACAACGTACCGGTTTACAGTACCGATTGTTTGACCTGGTTTTTGATGCCCGAGCCAACCAAGTGCGCCATCATGCTGACTCCCCTGGCGATTTCCAATTTCCAAGGCGATCCCGCTCTGGTCACCAACGTCTACGACGCCAATCCTCCATACCCGCCAAACGATCCTGATGGTATTCAACACGTGAGTTTCGCGGAAAGTAGATTATAAAACCAACAGCTCTGCTCTCACGAAAACTAGATAATCTCCGTCACGCAGGAGCTAATAGTCAAGTACCTGAAGGAAGAGGACCGGCTGGCGGCCTCGGTCTACCTGATCAATTACGACGTGGCTGTGGTGCCACGAGGCGGCTGGTTCAAGACCACCGATGGAAATGTAGTCCTGAACCCAAACTTCGAAGGCCTCACCCGCGAGGAAGCCGGCCGGCTCAGGTCGTACGTCCACGCCCGGCTGCCCCAGAACAAGTGGAACGCCAATCTCCTCGCCAGGCAGGACTACAACTTGGCCCTCGATTTCTTGGACACCCTCGAGGAGGACGCCCCAGTGGGTGAGTTTTGATCGGATATACTTACGCAAAGGACGGTACGATTGATGAGATCTTTGTTCCAGGATGCTGGAGCCTACAGTCGGCCCAGGGCGGCCGTTTGGCTCTGCTGCTCAGTTTGTATTGGCCCGGGATGGTGTTTTACCACAAAGTCGATACCCCGCATTACGGCTCGCTTTACTTCGGAAACGGACGGAAAAACTTGGACGTGCCGTTTATGCTGTGATGAAAATCAAATCGACCGGAAAATATATTTACACTCATGGGAATACATGTATACTTATGGCGCTGTGCGGCCTGTGCCGTAAAAGTATGAAAGCATTACGAGTCCCAAGGGCAGGACAATTATACTTATGGCTCATTTAGGGCGCAAGACAATGATCCCTCCGAGGCACAGTAGTTTTGCCCTGTAATAAATTACGTAAAATATTATCGTCGTGCGTCACTTTCGTTTCGTCATTGGGTGAAAAATAGCCAAGGAAAGATACTTTTGTGTATGTAACCAATGTACTTACGGACACTGAAAATAATTATGAGCTGTAAATCCGTAAAATTACTTTGCGTTGTTTTGCGCTTTACGGACCCTTCGGGGAGGGGAAAATAAAAGAGAAATCGTTAATTGAAATACTCACGCTGTAGGATTCACATGTGCGACTGGTAATTTTCCTTTACGGCCCCCTGCTCTCGGGACATAAAGCGCATACACGAGGTCGAACACGATCGTTCGTTGCCTCTTATGGTGCAACCTTTTTTATTTTTCTTCACCAATAATCGTATGTATGATATTTTGCTGTTCATTGCGGGGCGTATTTTTGGTAATATTAAAAAAAAAAAAAAGTAGTTGTAGTCATCCATAAGTACCGAAGCTGTGACGTTACTCGCGCTGATGGGACGTATTTAACTTCTACCGATCGCAACATGTGCAACCCATTGTGAAGGTATTTTAATTTCTTCTGAAAAGTTTCTGTGCAATGCACAACAACGGCATTGAAAAGCTCCAAAAGTGGTACACAAAAAGTGCTCTCGTTAGATTGTAATTCACGTACGTCACCCTTATTTTTCACTGAAAACTGCTAAAATTTGCAATTTCCATCCGCGCACCCATGCTCGTTACGTGCAAAACAAATGACTGTTTGAACCAAAGAGCTGAAAGGCCGTTGACATCGCGGGTGTCCTCGCTGTTGTGCTCTATTCGTGCTTTGTGCCGTATTATATATACGTATACATAAGAAAGGAAACGCGGGCTCTCCTCTCTAACGGTATTTGGAGTAAAGCGCGCAAAAAGGAGCTGCTCATCCCTACAATGCGCCTCTCACGGTGTTTTCATTTTTGTTTTTTTGTTCAACTCAACCAACCGCTCGGCTCTCCTAAAAAACTGGTATACTGATTGTGGTATTGTTTCGTGGTCGAGATTTTTTTCTCTTATTTTTTACTATTTATCATTGCTCATTGTGTACTTGTATACATTTGCTTGCAACTTTGTTCGACTCAAAGACCAGGATTATTGTACGACCGAATGAAATATTTTTAATTTTTCTCAAAAAACTAATTAATATTGTGTTAAAAATATGTACGTCTCTTTTCTTTTGTGGTATACACGTGTTGGTGCAAAAGTTAACACCGTGAAATACTGAAATTGACGTAAGTATACGCAAAGTTATAGGTAAAATGCAAAAACGTGAAATAAACACTTAAAAAAAGTGTTAAGTTGAAAAGACTAAATTTATTATACGTGTAAATGTCTTTTTTTTTCGAATCCAATTTCCTTTTACTCAACGATGTATAGTATTCCTGAATTTGTTTAATCAACCAGCTCACTTTTATTTTTCATCTATAAAAAACCACCCATTTCTCCAATGACGAATCGTTATATTCAATAACGAAATACTCTCTACGAAATCAAGTGAATTATCACTCTATCCTATAATTGTTATCACGAAAATCCTTTATTTCGTTACAAATAAAGTATATGACCACCCACCTTCTTTGTTCAGGTTCCAAGAAATGAAAAAAAAAAAAAAAAAATAGCAACGACAAAATAACTTGCGGAACTGCCCCAGAGATAACCAATGGAACATCATCGTATGGAAAAAAAAAAAGAAAGAAAAATTATCTACTACCGTTTCGAGCGGATATACACTGACGCGTCCAAGGTATATACGCATTCCTTGCAAGTGACGTGCGCAACAATGCGAGTAACAATAATGATAATAGTAACAACAATTGCAAAAGTGATAAATTAATATCGATCTGGTCGGCTTGGCTGCCGGGAATTCGCCGTCAAAATAACAAGTGGCTCGATATAGAAGAAACGTACACGTATACATCTCGATGTATACACAATACATGTATCACCGATAAACCGGTGAATCGGTTGGCTCGCAAATAATAACGATTATTCCATACATATATATGCCAGCGGTAGCGGTGGAAGGTATGCGAGAGAGAGAGAGAAAGCGTTTCCTCTCTTTGTGACGTGCTTTCGAAACAATAAACCTTCTTGTGCGGGGAAGACAACGCGACACCCTGTGCGTTTGTTGTTGCCTTACTCGTCTTACCCGCGCGGTATGCATCTTCATTATTTTGACGCTCGAAGATATCGATTTTTTTTTTCGGTCGCATGTAAATATTATTCATATACTTATTAATGATTTTAAACATATTTATTGCGACATTGCAATGTATTATTACTCAAAGAACGAAGCGCACGCTACACTCTCTGTTTTTAATGTAATTTTACTTTGGTTAAACAATATGTAGGAATTGGTATGCAAAAGTATTAATTGTAATAGGCTTTGAGTCCAAGGTTTGAGTAATCGATTGATATCAATTGCTCATAGATACGGGCATTTATGGTTTTTAAAATGAAAAAAAGACATCTTTAGTAGAATGAAATTACTTTTCTCACGTTAATATATGCATGTATACCCTCGGAGATCCACGAATTGCGCTTAAATCGAGAAACATTTTTTTAAACTCTATTTGCCAATTTTAGTACTATTCTATCTCGGTATCAAACTGAGGTTTATCTATTCATCATTGAATATTCTTACAAAATCTTAGTTTCGACAACTAATGCAAAAATTTGCCTCAAAATATCCACACAAAAATAATTCCAACTAACTTATCACTTGAAACAAGATTACAATTACTTATTTTTAAAAAAATGTAGGTACATTTGAAATAAGAAAGTATATTCCTAATGTAAAAAAAAAAAAATAAATAAATAAATATCTTGTTTTAAAAAAAATATATTTATTTTGTACTATTTTACAGTAAACATTTTCTTTGCTCTGAGAAATTTTTTCTCTCAGTGTACATATACATCGTAAGAAACAACATACATCCCGAGTCGAAATACTTCAACTCGTATCACAATCGCCCTTATACTTTGCAACTCCACCCATTTTATTAAGCGCCTTCTCTCTTCCATCAGTCTTTATCTTCATCGCTGTACATAGTTTTATTCGAACTCATTTCTCTCACATCTTCTCTCTGCATTTTACGTTAGATAAGTGTCAATTTGATTACGACGCCAAAAATGACAGCTATCAATAAACACGCGAAAAAATAATAAAGTTGCATGAAAAAAAAAAAAACAACCGCGATAAAATCGATGTTCTTGAAAAAATAGTAAAATATCGTACCGCATTAATATCGTTAAAAACAAACGCGTTTTACTGTATGCACTTTCCCAAGTGCAGCTGCGCGTATAATAACCGCGTTTAAAAACAATTAATCTACGTTTCGTATAAAAATTAACGGCGACAATCGTACACGTGTTGTATATTTCACGGTTAAGAAAAAAAAGATATTCGGGCGAAGGGAAAGAAAGAAAGGGAGGGAGGGCATCGTCGTAAGTGGTTTATTTCGAGCCGACGCGACGGCTAAACGAATATAAATTGCTCGGTTCGATGACTCACGCGGAAAAAGAGTGCGGGTTGCCGGGTATAGATGCACGAACGTACTTGTGCTTATATATGCACCGCTCACATACATATATAGGCATAACACTTCTTGCGAGAGAGATAATCACGAGAGAGAAGAGTAAGTAGTGGAAAAGAGGATTTGAACGCAAGAAACGGCCGAACTGAAAATCAGGGGGGAAAACTAACGCTGTGGCGTTGTACGAGCGTATAAATGTCGATTTGTTCGCTCGAGGGGGTCCGCGTCCCATATGCGGGTTTCGCGTGTCATTGAAAGGCTGGAGAGCACTATTGTACATGTACACCTAATTGTAAGAGTAAATCCTTTTTTTTTTTTTTTTCACTTACGAAAAAAGTTGAGAAAAAATCGTTAACGATTACTTGACTTTCATATTGCAGAGAAACAAACTTTGTTTCTTTTAATTTTCATGACGGTAGTATTGTAAAAAACAAAGAGAAAAAAACAACCATCCATTTCATTGTTAAAACTGTTAAAAATCTTTAAATTCACATCAACTCGACCGGCAAGACTCCGAATTCTCTGATGCATTAGACATACGTTATCATTTTCCTCGTATCCACCCCAAACTCACAAATTCTGCATATTTAATTTACATGTGTTGATAAATTATTATTATATGCGTGATTGCAGAGTGTCTGGGATACGTGTGGCGCTCTCACTGGATTTTATGGAGGTTGCTTTGGTTACCGCCACGTGTCTATACCACCGCCTCTCATTTTCTTTCACGCGAAATGAATAGTCATCAGTTTTCGTTCCTTCTCCTTCATAACTTATATATATACGGGTACACCTATAAACTTCCTGCTACCAGCGTACAACACCAACTTTCATTTTGTCGTGGGTTTCGTTCTTTTTCGTTTGTGATGTGTACATAATAATATATACATGTGCAGCTGCAGTCTTTTGCTTTCTACGAGGGAAGGGGGAGAAATAGTAGTGTGGGGGTTGCCGTTGATTTGGGCTTTTGGGAATCCCCGATTTACATCAGCTCGGGGTGCGTATACGCCCTTATAAGGGCGAGATGGTGTTTAGCGCTGATTTCGAACGCGTGTATGAGAGGACCCGCGTTACATGTAAGCATTTGCATTTGAATATGCGAAAAGTGATTTTAGAGTCGAGAGGTTTGTACTTATGGCACGCATGTGATGGGTGCTCTGATGATGTGACTCGTTCTCGTTGATGCGACTGCTCGGGAAATTACGTGGGAGTGGACTTTTTTTTCGCCAATATATACGGGCCCTTATGCATATATTTTGGCTCTTTATGATCCAAGAGAGA